ATTATAGCCTTAAGTCACAAACTTTTTAAGTAAAGCTGGATAGTGGCTAGTAGTGTCCGGCGCTATATCCGGAACCAAACCAATGGTGCACATCGGCTCCAGTATCCTGCGGGAACAAATGGCGTATGAACCGATCGTTGGTCACCGGCTACCATGGGACTGCATCTCCTTACGATGCTCCACTGCCTTGTGGATCAGATCTTCAGGTCGAAGGCTCGGGGTGTGGTCCCCTAAGAAAACCACCTGCTTTGGTTTGGGCACCCGGGCAGTATCACAGCCCTCACATAAATCAAATGAGATCTGTGTGGCGCATATGTATTTGGTGCTTTCTTGTACCGATATCTATGTGTTAAAATAAATAAAATAAAAATGACAACAGTTCATATTAATGATCTTATCAATGATCATACTCTTGAATATCGAATGAAATTCTTAAGTGTTTTCAATCTTAATTATCGACAATGTAATGAGAAGACGAAGTTTATCACAATTATATGATGATAGATTAGTGCAATATATTTTGAACAGTCTGATCACCCACATATACTTGTTATGAGCATTTATATTATAAAAATAAAAGATCAACTAGACTGGCAATTGGGGTAATAGGAGATACGGATAATAATAATAATTATTATTATAATAATCGTGGATGTGCACTGCTGAGGAGTCCCATACTAGAACGAAACAGTCGTTCAGCGCTTCCAGGGATCCATAGTGGTCTAGCTTCAATGAATTCATGATTTCAACCAGTGAAATTTCTAAAATCTCCACACAATCCCTTCTGATAATAATAATAATAATAATAATAATAATAATAATAATAATAATAATAATCTGAATACAATTTTAAATCTAATCTTTCTGGATAATAAGTCGATATTACCAGAGTAGGTTTAAGGTAAGAACCAATTGTTTTTGAATACACAAAGGGTGTATGATCAGATTGTTCAAAATGTATTGCACTAATCTATCATCATATAGTTCTGATAATCTTCATCTTCTTCTTATTACATAATCGAAATTTATTAAACGAACTAATTACTTTAAATCTTAATTATGTCAAAATATATCTCAACAATCATTCAGTATTATTCTATACATTATGAATGTATGATGAATAGATCACCTATAAATTTTAACTAATTTCTCTCTATCAAATCTCTATATGAAAATCAATCTCTTTAACAACTTTCATTGGAATTAATTATCACATTCATCATAAGAAGTAAATTAATCAATCTAGTAAGTAACTATAGCTTACTATTGTTGTCATGTTAACTTCAATAAACTTATTATCCAATATTGTTTTCATTTTAAACAAGTGAAATTCTGTATTAATAAAACTTTAAGTATGAATTTTACTATATATTGCTTGACAACCAGATACCTATTGAGGATATAAGGATAATTGACACCCGTTACGTGTTTTTTAGGTAGCCGTCCCTTCCCCTTCTTACGATCCTCAGATTATGAGGTGAGCAAGTTATATTGCTAACTGTATGACGGTGCTTTTCAATGGATAAATTGTATTTCCAAAGACACCTAGTCACAACAGTGAGAGAATGATATTAGAAAATAGGTGATCACTGTAGCACTATTCATCACTTTGAAGAGTTCAAAAAGTAAAAAGCTGGTATAACAGAAGTGCCCAACAAAAAAGCTGTGAGTGATCACCTTCACATAATTGTCCCTTCGATACTGAGGTCACAATGCCTAATCAGAAAAACCATCACTACTATCCTGATTCTCATTTTAGGTTGCACAAGAAGAAAAATATCTTTCTAAACCTTTAACACTACTAAAGTTAATACTGTTGACAAATTCTAATATTAATCATATTGCTGACAAAAGCAATAACCATCATTTAACGTTACTTAATCAAGTATAGGCCACTTTGAAACTTCAGAAGTATAGTTGATTATTAGAAAGGGAACGAATGTATAGTTCAGTGTTGATTTATATATCCTATTCAAGTCCATTAATTTGAACTTGCATATTATATACAAACACAGATCACTGACTAACACTTGGTTCAATCCAATCGAATTATCATTATTAGGGTTGTGGAGATTATTAAGTTTTTTGATTGATATCATGAATCGACTGATATTACACCACCGTTAAAAACCTGGTAGCACTGGACGGCTGTTTCGTCTTAGTATGGGACACCTCAGCAGTACGCATTCACGACCCAGCCCCTCGCGGGATTCCAACTCAGGGCCTTCAGTCTCGCGCGCGAATGCTTAACTTACTGGACCACTGAGCCGGCATCCAATGGCGGTAGTGTCTAACATCAACCAATCCACAAAATTGCGCGATCATCTTCCATTGTACTGGGGTAGTTACCTGTCTCTACCCGACACAGATTAGCTCCACTGGTCACGGCTGCTCACTAGAACTCCGAGAATTCCCTCACGAAGCTAGTCACTAGTAAGCACATGTTAATTATCATAATTGGGGTTGTGGAGATTATTAAGTTTTTTTCCATTGAGATCATGAATCGACTGATGTTAGACCACCACCTATGAAATTAGCCGAACATTTATAATGATAAGTAATTTATTCTTATTACTGCAGATGTTGTTTAATTAGTGGTCAGTGGAAAACCAAAACAGTCTTCTTCTACAATCTTTTTACCCTCTTTGTATCAGGATAGAAGTTTCACTCTCCCCTTAATAATTAGTAGGAAAAACCTGGACGGTCATTTCATCCTGTTATGGGACTCCTCAGCTGTGTTCTAGTGGTTAAGCGGTTAAGACCGATAAGTCTTGGGTTAGAATTCTGAGGGGCGCGATCGTGAATGTGTACTGCTGAAGAGACTCCATACCAGGACGAAACGGACGTCCAGTGCATCGAAGTTTTTCATAGTGGTCTAACTTCAATTAACTTATGTTTTCAACTATTAAATATGAAATTATTAATAGTAGGGTCTAATAAAAATTGTTCAGTTTTATAGATTACATCACTAACTAACTTTAGTTAGTCTACAAACATATCTATTGCAATGCTCACTTCCTAGTAGTTATGTATCATTTATTTTTAGCCTAAAATGATTATACTACTTATGTAAACCAATAAGTAATACTATATTCCTGATTTTCTCTTCCTTAAGGTAACATCAACACGACTACTTTCTCTCTATCCACTACCATATATTTCTCCATTTTCAACAACAAGATACATTTCATCGTCTAAAAGAAAAAAAAAACTACCTAGTTTTATAACTTATCACCATCTTAGGTTTCGGTTTATTGTCTAAAGACACACTTACACTCACTCACTCACTCACTCACTCTTTTTTTTTTTTGGTAACATTATGGTCAATATGACAAAATAGAATTTCAATATGGAAGAAAATAAAGTAAAAGATCTTTGTAATTTACACACAACCGATTTATTTCTTTAGTATGTAAAATAAACCAGACTGTAGTTAATTAGACTTTCATAACTCTATCTATCTGTCTGTCTGTCTGTCTGTGTATCTATTTATCAACTATTTGTCTGTCTGTCTATCCATCTGTTCCTCTCTACGTATATATACATTATATACTCGTAACGGATTGTAATTACACTCAAACCAATCGATCGATCAATCGACGAGACAAATAATCTCCCAGATACTGACGCTTGTTCCTAAATCCCTTATTATTGAAATTTGATATTGACTGAATGTAACTATCATATTATTGGTAATGTTTTTTTTGTTTTTATCTCTAAGGCTTTGATCCACATTATCTAGAAATCTATTAAAATATTTTACAATAGATCTAATGAGCAATAAAAAACCAGCATAATTATTTCGTCATCTTCTTTCCAATTGGTTGGTATTTTACTGATTGGGAAAAAAGATACAGTTATTATAAATAGTTGAAGTTAGACATTAACACCGTTGGATGCCGGCCGGCTCAGTGGTCTAGTGGTTAAGTGCTCGCGCGAGAAACCAGTAGGTCCTGGGTTCGAGCCTCGCAGGGGGCGAGGTCGTGGATGCGCACTGCTGAGGAGTCCCATAGTAGGACGAAACTGCCGTCCAGTGCTTCCAGGTTTTCCATGGTGATCTAGCTTCAATTGACTCATGATGTTAATCATTGAAATAAATAAAGATTATCACAGTTGAATTCAGGAGTCAATTAAAGCTAGACCATCATGGTAAACCTGGATGCACTGTATAACCGTTTCGTCATAGTATAGGACCGGACTCAAACCCAAGACCTTCAGTCTCTTGCGCAAGTGCGCGTGTGTCGAGTGGAGACAGTTATCGACCTCAGACAATAAACGAAGGGTTAAGCAAGATCATGGATTGATTGAAGTTAGACATTAACATTATTACATGCGGCTAAGTGATCTAGAGGTGAATATTTGCGTGCGAGACCGAAGATTTTGGGTTCGAGTCACACGTGAATGCGCACTGTTCATCAGTCCCATATTAGGACGAAATGGTCGTCCAGTTCATCCAGGTTTTCAGTGGTGGTCTAGGTTAGATTGACTCATAAATTCAACTGTGAAAATACCACAGCTACGCTACACTGAACTTGGTCATATCAGATAACTAAGGATAACTCCTGTAACAATTGAGTTTTTATGAGAAATATATATATCAAAAATGTAATGACAAGCAAGTCTGTGCAAATGTTTCAGCTTTGAAGATAGTTTACAGTTTAGATAAATATTAAAACCAAGCAATGCTAGATAGATGTTTCGTTTTATTGTAAGACTCATCAGAACTGTGTATATTGATGAATTTACCAAAAGATTAAATAATCTCTACTTACCGTTGGAAGAAAGTTAGGGGTAGTCAAACCAAAATGTGGCATCAATGCTTGAAGTCACTAACTTCTAGTAGATACAGACTACTTAGTTGGGGTCCGCATGATTATCGTAACCAATGATTGGAGACTCTAGGTGACATGGCTCACAATCGATCACAATGGCGTAGGTGTATACACTTTTTGTTTTTCCTTAAACTATATTTACTTTCTTTTTCTTTTTTTTTTTAACAGAAATCAATAAAAATTTCACTACAATTCCATTAGTTCATGTTGCACCTGAATGTTCATTATTAGATGCATCAAGAATGTTATTACAATATCGTTTTCATCGATTACCTATTATTGATACATTACATGGCAATGCATTACATATTTTAACACATAAACGTATATTAAAATATTTGCATTTAAATGTTAGTCCTATTTTGTAATGATAATAAAAATTGTTTATTAACAGTATGATAAAATCGATTTGATTTGAACCATTATTGAATGTCTGATGAAAGTACTGGATACCCCATTTTGTCCTAATGTGCGACTGTTCAGCAGTAGAAATCCATGTTCTTACAACTAGTAACCGAACCTAGGACTTGAGGTTCTGAGAGAGAACTAATGAGCTGAAGTCAAATGGTTTACAAGTTCAAATCTAATCAGTCCACCATATTGGTTGTGCGAATTAGACTGGTCAGTGATTTCAATGAAATTCAACAATTCCAACAACTGCATACTGACAATTATCATGTCCTCACTTGTGACTAGCATTGAAAGGAGAGTTCTAATGAGAAGCCATGATCAGATGAGCTCAAACATGTCAAGTGTGAGGAAGGTACTCACAAATGACTATAGAAGATGGTCGCTGAATACTGTGGGGTAGTTTAAATTAGACATTAATATCATTGGATATCAGCTCGATGGTCTTTAGGTTAAGCATTTGAGTGTGAGACCAAAGGTCTGGGATTTGATCCCTAGCAGCAGTGTCATGGATTTTCATTACTGATGAAACAGTTATTCACTACTTTCTAGTTTTCAACAGTTGCTTAACTAACTAAGATCAATCCGTAACTTTAACTATGAGATTCAATCATTTTTTATTTTCATATAAAAACCGATTTTTAAACAATCTCTTTCATTCAATTGAAGACAATTAAAGTACCATAAATACTTACTGAGTAGAACTCTGAATAATTTTTTGCTTATTATAAAAAGGTTTCGTAGAAATCTGTTCTTAACTTACTATGAAAGCTGAAAGTTCTCTGAGTTCAATCGTTGAACGAGATCGTTCATTGGTTATTGGTAAATTATAGACTCAACCAAACAAGACTGAATAACTGCTCAAATCACTTCACCTTTCCTGATCATTATCTACTTAATTTACTGTTTAGTTTACACTTTCATATTTATCATTCTCATTTATGTTTCCTTTTCTCTATAATTTCTTTTTCTTTTTTTTTTTTCTTTTTCTTTTTTCATAGAGGCATAATTTACCTCCAGCCAAATTTATATCTAAAAGTTTATATGAACTTCAATTAGGCACTTATATACCAAATGTTCAAACAATTACAAATAATACAACAATTATAGAAGCATTAAAATTATTTCTTAAAAATCAAGTATCATGTTTACCAGTTATTAATGATGAAAATGGTCAACTTATTGAAATCTATGCAAAATTTGATGTAATTGTAAGTTTGTTTTCTTGAATTATGTTTGAAGAATTACTGAACAACTTAAATCTTTAGTAAATATAAACCCTTACAAATGAATTCATATTTGTGAATGGGGGTTTGTAGAGATTGTAGTAAATGTAATAGTTGAATTCATGAGTCAATATTAAAGCTAGATCATCATGGATAAACCTGGATGAACTGAACGACCCCTTTAGTTCTTGTATGAGATTGGTGAAGAGTGCGAATCTATGATCCCTTGCGTGAGACTCGAACCCAAAACCTTTGATCTCGTGTGCAAGAGCGCGTATGTCGGGTGAAGACAGTTATCGATCTCAGACAATGAGCGAAGGGTTGAGCAAGATCATGGATCGACTGAAATTAAACATTAACATCGTTAGATTCCAATTCAGTAGTCTAGAGGTTAAGAGTTTGCATGCGAGAGCGAAGCTCCTGGATTCAAGTCACACACAGCATGAAACGAGTGACATATATAACTTCTTGACTTTGTTGAGTAGATGGTGCTCAAAAAAGTGGCTTGAGATAGTTATACTACTAACAAACTATATTAAGTAGTTAACCTCAATTTTAGAAAAATATTCCGGTAAGAAAACAACATGTAAAATAAGTATAGCCTATGACTAATTGTGAAAATTGACCGGGTTAAAATTTAATTTAATTGACAATCAATCTACTCTTCTTAATATTTCAATTAAATATCACTATTATTCGTGAATAGATAAATAGATTGACAAACATAAAAGCGTTATAAACAAAGATGGATAGTGGCTAGCAGTGGAATGAAAGCCACGCTTTTCGTCCTATTTGGGACTCGTCACCTGGATGTACTTGTATCTCAGAGTTGATGTTCACTTTGGGACTCGAACCCAGTACTATGCACTTCAAACGCCATAGCGTTATCCTTCTTCTTTGTTACTATAAGCTATGAAGAATAATAAACATACTTCATAGTTCAACACTGTTGAATTTCAGAACAATATTCTATATGGTAAAGCAATTAAATTGACTATTCTATGATTTAATATGGATTTTCAGGTAATAAGTGTGTATATTTCATTTAACCTGATAAATTTTCGTCAAATGAGATAGTCATTAAAAGATTTCCACGTTTAATTCTTCTAATTATCGGATCGAACAAACGGAAGTAGTTGTTTTTATTACTCTATTAATTGGATTTGAAGTCATTCCTGTTAAATGTTGGTTTAATTTAGTTTGTAGTGTCCGTTACTACGTTAAGCCCAAATAACTTGTTCTAGCTTCTGGACAGGTCAATTTATCCATTCTTCTTGAGTCACATTTTGAGCTTGTTAATTATTCACTTATTAACACTGTTATTACACAAGCTTATGTGTATGTACACTTCTTACCATATTGATCACATGTCAGTAGCTTATTTTGTGTGACCATAAATATTGATTAAGGCTTGGTTAAATCTCCTCTGGACGCCATTTCACTTCGCTCTCCTCTCTCCGCTTCCTTCGCTTCGTTTCTTTGATCGTCTATTCCGACCAATGACTGTTATCAAAATATGCATTCTGACTATTCTTGTATATAATCATCGACTTAACTCACGTTAGTGTATAACGGAATTAAAATAAATCAAGTACGAGAATGTATTTCGAATACATACAATTTATATAATCTCTAATCGGAACAAACAAGAAGAGAGACGTAGTAAAGAGAGAGCGTAACGAAATGGCTCACAAAGGAGAAGTCACGTAATCCAACTCGATCTAATCAAGCGTTAATCAATATTTATAGTCACACAATAATAAGCTATTGACATATGATGAACAGTGGGATAAGAAATGTACACACATACGTTCATATAAAAACAGTCAATGTTGATAAGTCAATAATTAATAAAGTCAAAACGTGACTCAACTAGAATAAATAGATTAGCCTGTCCACAAGCTAGAATAAGTTATACGGGCTTAAAATCGTAACTGACACTAAAAGTTCTCATCAACTGATAATATAATTGAAAATAGTGAATCGTAATGGACTGATATTTCGAAAGATCCTCTGTGCTTAATACCAATTTGGAATTTTCTGTAATTTGAAGTCGGATTCGCATTTCTGTAGCGAAAAACATCTAACTAAACCATCAACCTACGATTATTTTTTGAACTACACTGGATAAACAGATCCAGTCAGTCAGCTGCAATGTAGGACCAGGCACATATATGCATCGGTTCAAGTTGCCGTACCGCATTAGCACCACTAGATGAACACCGGATTCATAGAAGGAGTCACTTCGATGGTGGTAATATATAAAAGAAACATTGCATATAAAGACATAGTACAGGAAGAAAGAATTAGCTCCTAGAAAGAATGATATGAAGCGATTTTAATCTCTTAACTTAAAGGAAGACAGAGAGTGTATACACCGACGCCATTGTGATCGATTCTGAGCCTTGTCACCAAGAGTCTCCAACCATTGGTTACGATAGTTATGCGGACCCCAACCAGGTAGTCTGCATCTACCAACATGGCTCAGACCAGAAGTTAGTGACTTCAAGCACTGATGCCACGTTTTGGTTTGGTCGCCGCTAACTTTCTTCCAATTATCCCTAACACCGGTCGTGGTAATCGGTGTTCAGGCATACGCAACACGTGGCCCAACCATCTCAGTCGATGAAGACTCACAACCTCATCAACTGATATACCATCATTCCTTAATACCCTGCGTCTAACCTCACTATTACTTATCCTGTAATCCCAGCAGATGCCAGCAATATTTCTAAGATATCTGTGGTCAAATACTTGTAGCTTACGAGTATCTTCTACTCTTAAAGGCCATGTTTCGCAGCCTTCTAGTAGAAAAGATCTAACTGCCGCGCAGTATCTCGCCTTCGCCATAGGTGACGTAAGTCGGCAAAGGCCAAATGAGTTTTTCGAAACCGTGCTGAGATTTCGACAGACACAAACCCATTAGGGCTGATCAGACTTCCAAGATAAGTGAAGTTGTCAACGCGTTCGACTACTTCACTCCCTATCCTAAGTTCAGATGTTGACGCAGACCAGTCCTGAAGCAACAACTTGCATTTAGAAGGAGAGAAGCGCATCCCAAACATTCTGGCATTGTTGCTCAGTGCTACCAAAAGACTCTGCATTTCATCAGCGTCTTCACCAAACAGGACTATGTCATCCGCGTATTCTAAGTCAATAAGTGAACCTCCTGGTAGGAGATCGATACCCGAGAATTCAGTCGATGAGAGCGTTATTTCCATCAGGAGGTCTATAATTAAGTTAAACAAAAAAGGAGAAAGTGGGCAGCCTTGACGGACACAACCTGAGGTTACAAAAGCAGATGACAGTTCGCCGTAAGCTCTGATTCGACTAGTAGTGTTTGAGTAAAGAGCCTTCAGAAGGTTTATGTACTTCTGAGGTACGCCTTTCAATGACAGAAACTGCCACAGAACCTCTCGGTTTACAGAGTCAAATACTGCTTTTAAGTCAAGGAAGACCACCATTGTCGGACGCCGATAAGTATGCCTGTGTTCTAGAACCTGACGAATGGCAAATATGTGGTCTATGCATCCATGGGTCCAACCATTAGTATATCTTGGAACCCACTGGCCATTGCCAAGTGCACAGTTACAAATTAGAATCCTAAATTTAGTTGGATCTGTTGTTTGTCCTATAGTTTAGTGTTTGTTACTTAGTCAGTTACACACCCGACCAGCAGTGTAGACCTTGGAATGTCAGTCGGGTTCCTATAATTCTACTGTCCGCAAACCCCTCTCTATGCCTAGCCTCGAGTTCAAAAGTCATTAACCAGCCTCTACTACATTTGTATTTCATCAGACGTAGTTTTTAAACAGATATAACAGACTACACGACACAATAAATGAAAACTAATAATCATTCGTATAAAGTCAAAAGTTATTGGCTATAAGTAGGAGAGATTGTGAATGGTATACTGGGAAAAAAAGTTGAGTTTATGAGTTAATTGAAGCTAGACCACATGGAATACCTGGAAGCACTGGATGGCCGTTTCGTTCTAGTATATGATTCCTCAATAGTGCTCACCCATGATCCCGCTCACAGGATTCAAACCCAGGACCTTCAGTGGATGCGCACTGCTCACAGGTTCCCATATTAGGACGAAACGGCAGTTCAGTACTTCCAGGTTTTTCATGGTGGTCTACCTTTAATTGACTCATGAACTCAGCTAATAGATTACTGCAATCTCCACAAAAACCCCCTTTAGTTTGACTGCAGTTTATGAGTTAGGTAAATAATGATGACATCATCATTTGATGATATTCTGTAGCAACAACGAGCAGAAAATAACTAGAAACTTAAAAGTACAGAACAGGTGTTTCGTTGTAACAAAGAATCACTCCCTCAGCAACATATACCCATGGACTCACATAAGAAAAGATTCAAAAATCGTAGTGAATAAATTGATAGTAACATTTACAGATTTTAGTTCAGTTGGTAGAATATTTTTCTACCCAAGATTTTGAATTATGGTGCTACGTGAAATGAATAATCAATTCATTTTGTCACTGAACCAGTTGACTTATTTACGCCTGTTACTCTTCGTGAAGGAGCACAGACCGCTCACCAGCATTCACCATCCAATCCTGTCCTGGGAAATCCTTTCCAGCTCTTTTCAGTTGTTATTCATCCTTATCATATCTACTTCTATTTCCCGACGTAATGTGTTCTTTGGCCTTCCTCTTTTCGTCTTCCCTTCAGTATTCCAAGTTAGCGCTTATCTCGTAATGCAATTCAGTTATTTCCTCAATGTGTTGTTCTATCCACTTCCAATGTCTTTTCCTAATTTCCTCTTCAGCTGGAAGCTGGTTTGTTTTCTGCTACAATGGGCTGTTGCTGATGGTATCCGGGCAATGGATGTTGAGTATCTTGCATAGACAACTATTTATAAATACTTATACCTTCTTGATGATGGTTGTAGTAGTTCTCCACGTTTCAGCTGCGTAAAGCAAAAGTGTCTTGACGTTCTTATTGAAGATTCTCACTTTGATATTGCCCTGGTACGGCCGAGAGTGGGGAGAGTTCGCTCACCCACTCCAAATGCTCTCACATGGTCACGCGTATACAGCCTTTGCCAAGGAAGTCCTACTCACTGCCTTCTCGTGGCGGGAGTGTTGTTTACGAAAATGAAAGGACGAAAAGCGAATGTCCGTCGCTATAACCGGATCCCAAATCAATGGTGTACATGGGCTGCAGTATTCTGAAGTAAACAATGGCGTATGAACCAATCGTTGGTCACTGGCTGGCTACCATGGGACTGCATCTCCTTACGATGCTCCATTGCCTTGTGGATCAGATCTTCAGGTCAAAGGCTCCGTGTGTGGTCTCCTAAGAAAACCACCTGCTTCAGTCTGGGCATCCGGGCAGTATCACAGCCCTCACACAAATCAATTGAGATTTGTGTGGCGCATATGTATTTGGTGCCTCCTTGTACCAATATTTATGTGTTAAAATAAATAATTGGTTTAAAGTTGTCGCTAAAATAATGCTAATCAGAATCAATTGACATTAACTATTTAATCCCTTTATTTTATTATAATTTAAGGTTACTTAAAAATGTTTACAATGATTTTTTACTGATCAACTTTTATTCTCTGATATTTCCTGAAGATCAATAAGACATGATATGCAGCTACTAACTCTCATGCTGGGGTGCATATTACTTATGTTTACAGATATAAGTAGTATGTAACATTAGTTGAAAGTAAAATGTCTATAAGTAGAAGGTTGAGAAGATTGAAATGAAAACAAAACTGAAAGCAATCAACATAGCAACAGGAATAAAAGAACAATGAAGTTTTTAAGAGACTATTCAAAGAATATGTGCAAATGATGTATGATTTTGATATTTTATTAAACCATTCACTATGTAATTGTGTATTAAACAATAAATTATAGTCTTCCCCCCTTTGAATGTGTTCGTTCACTACAATGTCATTTAAATGTTACAGTTAGTGTAACACTGTTAGGTTACTTAGTTTGAATAATAAATAACTTCTATTCTTATATGATTTAATTTTAGAATTTGGCCATTACACGATCATATAACAATTTGAATGTTTGTGTATATGATGCACTTGAATTTCGTAGATTAAATCGAGATGTAAGTTTATTATTCATTAAAGTTATATAATTTTTGATTAAGATCATGAACTGATTGATGTTAGATCATGATTGAAAACCTGGAAGAATTGGATGGCCGTTACGTCCTATTGTGGGACTCCTCAACAGTGTATATCTACGATCGCGCTTTAGGGGGGATCAATGGTGGTCTATTATCAATCGGTTCATGATCTCAATCAAAAACTTAATAATCTTCACAACCCCATAGTGATATATGATTTATAATGGAGATTTTCATTCATATTCTAAAATTATTTTCATCATAGACTCAAATTGACCGGAAATCATATATCACTTACTAAGTGTTTCGTCAGTAGTTTTTTGTGACTCTTCAAAGAAACAGGCTAATGACTTGACACAAGAATCAACCTATGTTAATCAGGTTTGATCTAGCTTTATCCTTATCTAGAATATTCATATAATATCCATGAGTTTATTGATTGTAAACCATTCTGATTATCCATTGAAGAAGACTAAAGATATGTTTTCCTCTTGATGGATACTATAAATAACACAATTAATTCTGATCACTGATATATTGTTAACAACTGAATTGTAGGTGTTGAGAACCCCTCTACGGTTAAGATTTCGTGGTAGTTGGCACTCATCAGTAGGGTCTATCAATCATCTTGATGGAGTTGATACTTTGATCAAAACTGTGTATTCTAGCAGTTAGGATTCCTGGCTCTCAAGTAGGTAGTTCGGTGTTCGACTCACGGCGCGGCACAGTTTCGCTCCCGAATGCCTTGGTACATCCGAGAGTGAGGAGAGTCCGCTCTCCCTAGAAAAATGCTTTCATATGGCCACGTACATACAACCACTACCACAAAAGTCCTACTCACTTCCTTCTCTCGAAAAGGAGTGTTATCTACGAAATTGAGAGGACGAAAAGCAAACAACCGGCGATTCAACCGGGTTGGTGGATATGGAAGATCCACCGAAGGAAGTTGGAACACCCTCATTCCAAACCAATGGTGCACATGCGCTCCAATATCCTGAAGTAACAAATGGCGTATGAACCAGAGGTTGGTTACCGGCTTGTAACAATGTTCATGTGTTTAAATAAAAAAAAATAAACTCGAAAAAAAATTCAATAATAAATTACACCAGATATCTTAATTTTAAGAGTGGTTTATCACGACTCTAAAAGCTTAATAGTAATATCTTTGACTACACTATTTACTGATATTGACTTGAATTTCACAAGGAGCTTAACTCTTTTCAAGATTGTAAATACATTCGAGTTGACAACTCTCAACTAACAATAAAGTATAGATCAATGTCTGAAATTATTTTCAAGTGTATTCAACTAACTAACAATATAGAAATATCACATTACTTAGATTGATGATTATATTGTATCAGAAAGAGGTTTTGTAGAGATTTCAGTAATTTCAATAGTTGAAATCATGAGTCAATTGATGCTAGACTACCATGGAAAACCTGGAAGTACTGGATGGCCGTTTCGTCCTATTTTAGGACTCCTCAGTAGTGCGTACCCACGATCCCGCCTCGCGGGATTCGAACCCAGGACCTGCTGGTATCGCGCACTTAACCATTAAACTACTGAGCCTACATCCAACGGTGTTAATGTCTAGCGGGGTTCGTTGGGGTCGTAAATACACACTGCCACTGAGGAGTCCCACAATAGGACAAAACGATCGTCCAGTGCTTCCAGGTTTTCCATGGTAGTCTAGCTTCAATTAACTCATGATTTCAACAATTGAGATTATATTGTAGTTTGATTAAGGGGATTTTGTTATCATTAAAAAGAAAACAAGAAAAATACTATTATGTAACCAATGGAATAAACTTATGAAACGTTTCATCTATTTGATTATTTCACATAATTCATTACATATTAAAGAGTTTTTTTTTAAAAAAATCTTTTCCACTGTATGATTACAGCGTTATCCAACTCCGTTGACATGTTCAAAAACGGATAGTTTACAAGATGTTATGGTGAAAATTGTTGAATCCGGTGTAAGTAATCAATTCATTATATTGATTAATTATATATGTTTATTGATTTGCTATATGAGGATAACTATATGTAGAACATCATTTTGTTCATTTATTGTGTTACTGCTATATATATATATGAGTGTAATATTCATTGAAGATTTCATTTTAATCATCTAAAGTGATCTACATAAGTCTTCCATGAATATGCGATTGTAGTGAAATCTCATCTTGTTGAATTGAAAACAAAAACAAATACTCAGGGATTTTGTGGATATTATAGTAATATAATTGGTTGAATTCATGAGTTAATTGAAGCTAAACTACTATGGAAAACATGGAAGCATTGGACAGTCGTTTTAATCTTAGTATGCGGACTTACTGAAGACAATGGTGGATGTGTCGCTTAATTTCGTGGATTGGTTGAAGTTTTACATGAACATAGTTGGATGATGATTCAGTGGTCTAGAGATTAACGCTTGCGCGCGAGACTAGTAGGCCCTGGGTTCGAATCTCGTGAGGCAGGATCGTGGATGCATACTGTTTAGGAGTCCCAGTGCTTCCAGGTTTTCCATGATGGTCTAGCTTCAATTAACTCATGAATTCAACTATTAAAAAACAAATAAATGACAATTAGAGTTTGGAATAAAATTTTTCCATATGTAAAATCAACTTAATAAATGAACGGAACAGTGTTAAGTGTTGCATACATATTGATTACTGAGCAACAAGTACAGAGATACTTATTCTTTCCCAATTCACATTTGTTATATTCCCCTTCACAATCCAAATTCTGAGGAATATCAACATGGTTTTAACAAGGATATTACAATACTTGTATTTTCTTCGACTTTAATAGTTATATCACAATTTATTACAGAGTATCGTCTCAGAAAGATTCTTTCTATCTCTTCCTACCCCTACCCCCATGAAAGTGAAAATCATGAGATTGTTTGGTGTTCTTCCTTATTCCTGTCATTTGAGAAATGATATTTAAGAAGTTTTCTTTCCTGGTGATTACTTACTTACTTACTTACTTACGCCTGTTACTCCTCGAGAGGTAGCATAGGCCGCTCACCAGCATTCTCCATCCAACCCTGTCCTGGGCAATGCTTTCCAGTTCTTATTCATCCCTTTCATGTCCGCTTCTATTTCCCGAAGTAATGTGTTCTTTACCCTTCGTCTTTAGGGCTTCCCTTCAACATTCCAAGTTAGCGCTTGCCTGGTAATGAAGTTTGGTGATTTCCGTAATGTGTATCCTATCCATTTCCATCGTCTTTTCCTAATTTCCTCTTCAGCTGCGAGCTGTTTTTTTCTTTACCACAGTAGGCTGTCGCTCACGGTATCCGGCCAATAGATGTTGAGTATCATGCGTAGACAGCTATTAATAAATACCTGTACCTTCTTGATGGTGGTTGTTGTTGTAGTTCTCCACGTTTCAGTTGCGTAAAGCAGAAGTGTCTTGACGTTCGTATTGAAGATTCTGCATCTGAACGTCCTTGTTCATCGATGATGCTTACCAGGTATGTGAAGAATTCCACATCTTCGAGAGTTTCGCCATCAAGTGTGATTGGGTTAGTGTTCACCGTGTTGTATTTGAGGATCTTACTTTTTCCTTTGTGTATGTTGAAGCCTACTGATGCAGAGACTGCTGCTACACTTATTTATTTATTTATTTATTTATTTATTTATTTATTTATTTATTTTAACACATAAGTATAGGTACAGGGAGGCACCAAATACATATGCGCCACACAAATCTCAATTGATTTGTGTGAGGGCTGTGATACTGCCCGGGTGCCCAAACCGAAACAGGTGGTTTTCTTAGGGGGCCACACCCCGAGCCTTCGACCTGAAGATCTGATCCACAAGGCAGTGGAGCATCGTAAGGAGATGCAGTCCCATGGTAGCCGGTGACCAACGATTGGTTCATACGCCATTTGTTCCCGCAGGATACTGGAGCCCATGTGCACCATTGGTTTGGGATCCGGTTAAAGCGCCAGACATTCGCTTTCCGTTCTCTCATTTTTGTAAACAACACCCCCGCCACGAGAAGGCAGTGAGTAGGACTTCCCTGGCAGAGGCTATATACGCATGGCCATGTGAGAGCATTTCGAGAGGGAGAGCGGACTTTCCCCACTCTCGGCCGTACCAGGGCATTTGGGGGCGCTGCTACACTGGCTGTCTTCTTGTTCGTGTGTATAGGATAGGTGGACTAGGTCATCTGCAAAGTCCATATCGTCTAATTGATCCTGAACTGTCCATTGTATTCCACGTTCTTCATCAGATGTCGAGGTCTTCATAATCCAGTCAATTACCAAAAGGAAGAAGAAGGAGGAAAGTAGACAGCCTTGTCTTACTCCGGTCCTTACTTGGGATGCTTTTGTCAGTTGTCCTCCATGGACTACTTTGCACTGTAGTCCGTCGTCTGAGTTCCGGATAATATTGACAATCTTCTCAGGAACTCCGTAGTGTCGAAGAATTTTCCATAACGTTCTCCTATCTACACTGCCGAACGCCTTCTCATATAGTCAATGAAGTTGATGTATAATGACGAGTTCCACTCAATCGATTGTTCGACGATTATCCGTAGTGTCGCAATCTGGTCTGTTGGTGATTACTTGGACTGTAGGAATTCAAAGTATATGAACATAATATCATTAGTTAGTTGGTATTACGAGAAATATGGGAGGTTTTTAACTAGCGGTAGTCAAAAACAGTCTTCAATTTACCACTCTGCTTAGTCCATCTTGGATGTCACCGATGAATAGAGATGTTATGAAGAAGCAGTATATATATATATATAAATATATATATATATATATATATATATATATATATATATATATATATATATATATATATATATATATATATATATATATCCATATAACAAATTATAAATATCACAATAATATTATTTTTATATAAACTGTTGTACAATTACGAAGTCGTCTAGCATTATTCAGTTAAAGTGGTTTGAAACATACACTTACCACATAAATAACCAATATTCACTTCAACATACGATTGTAGCTGGGAACATCAAAAAGAAAAAAGACCTCATTTTACCTAATTCATACGATACACCAATCCATGTTTCAGTCAGTCAGCTGCAACGTAGGACCAGGCACGTATATGCATCGGTCCAAGTTGCCATACCGTATTAGCACAACAAGATGAACACCGGATTCATAGAATTAGTTAATTCAGTGGTGGTAATATATAGAAGAAAGATTATGTATAAGGAGATAGTACATGAAGATAGAATTAGTTCCTAGAAAGATTTGAAGTGATTTTAATCTCTTAGTTGAAAGGAAAACAGAGAGTGAATACACCGACGCCATTGTGATCGATTCTGAGACTTGTCACCAAGAGTCTCCAACCATTGGTTACGATAGTCACGCGGACCCCAACCAGGTAGTCTGCATCTACCAAACATGGCTCAGACCAAAAGTTAGTGACTTCAAGCACTGATGCCACGTTTTAGTTTGGCCGCCGCTAACTTTCTTCCAATTGTCCCTAACACCGGTTAGCATTGCGCATCGTGGTAATCGGTGTTCAGGCATACGCAACACGTGGCCCAACCATCTCAGTCGATGAAGATTCATAACCTGATCAACTGATTTACCATCATTCCCTAATACCCTACGTCTAACCTCACTATTACTTACCCGGTGATCCCAGCAGATACCCGCAATATTTCTAAGGCACCTGTGGTCAAATACTTGTAACTTACGAGTATCCTCTACTCTTAAAGGCACAGTTTCGCAGCCGTATAGTAGAACGGAACGAACTGCCGCGCAGTATACTCGTCCCTTAATTGATAGACGGATATCTCACCTACGCTATAGATGAGGTAAGTCGGCAAAGGCCAAACGAGCTTTTCGAATCCGTGCTGAGATTTCGTCAGACACCAACCCATTAGGGCTGATCAGACTTCCAAGATAAGTGAAGTTGTCGACGCGTTCGACTACTTCACTCCCTACTCTTAGTTCAGGTGTTGACGCAGATCAGTCCTGAAGCAACAACTTGCATTTAGAGGGAGAGAAGCGCATCCCAAACATTCTGGCATTGTTACTCAGTGCTACCAAAAGACTCTGCATTTCATCACCGTCTTCACCAAACAGGACTATGTCATCTGCGTATTCTAAGTCAATAAGTGGACCTCCTGGTAGGAGATCAATACCTGAGAATTCAGTCGATGAGAGCGTTATTTCCATCAGGAGGTCTATGATGAAGTTAAACAAAAATGGAGAAAGTGGACAGCCTTGACGGACACAACCTGAGGTTACAAAAGCAGATGACAGTTCGCCGTAAGCTCTGATTCGACTAGTAGTGTTCGAGTAAAGACCCTTCACAAGGTTTATGTACTTCTGAGGTACGCCTTTCAATGACAGACACTGCCACAGAACCTCTCGGTCAACAGAGTCAAACGCTGCTTTTAAGTCAAGGAAGACCAACATTGTCGGACGCCGATAAGTATGCCTGTGTTCTAGAACCTGACGAATGGTGAATATGTGGTCGATGCAGCCACGACCAGGTCTGAAGTCAGCCTGATTTTCACGTGTTTGCAGCTCACGAGTCTTTGTTAGGCGTCCGAAAATTATCGAGGCTAGTATTTTAGATATTATATTAGTTAAACTAATCCCTCTGTGGTTGTCACAGGATGATTTTGACCCTTTCTTAAATATTGGGACGATAAGTGATTGTGACCAGTTAGATGGGATAACGTCTAACTCCCAGATTTTAGGTAAAATATTAGTCAACCTAATCGCTAAAACTAGACAACCATCCTTAAAGACCTCTGGGGCCAATCCGTCTGGACCAGCTGCCCTTCCTCGTTTCAGATTAGCTATAGCCTTTTGAACTTCAGCTAGAGTTGGGGGACCTACTTCAATGTTCCATTCATACTGTCTGGGAATAGAGGGTAGTTGTAGAGTAGCTGAAGGCCAACTGAACTGCTCCTTAAAATGTTCCGCCCATCGTTCTAAGCGTCTGGACTGGGAGCAGATGAGAGT